ACAATCTTATTGTCCATTTTGCCTTAATTTGCATACTAGGAACAGTCACTTTAATTCCCTGTACTCGGTGCATTTCAGTATTGCTGCTATCTGCTCCCTGGTACGTTTATCAATACCATCGCTGGGCAAGCTATCATATATCAGTTTGTTATAATTGATGCTTTGATTTAATTATTCAAATCATGAATACAGATGCATATACATACTGAGTTTGTCTACAAAAGCACAGATATCATACTACGTACATACATATATACACATAACTAACTAAACTATTTTAAAGACACAAAACACCTACACTATCATGATATAGTTGACCATTCAGTCACCTTGGTCTGGTAATACGGCGCCGGGTTCCCCATTTTGCACTGAAAACAAACTTTTCAGCTCTTTTCCGTATCTGCCTCTTTCTGTTAGCACTATAACCTTCTGGACACTTTCTATCAGCTAAATACACAGCTGCCTTCTCCACAAGAATCATCCTCTTAATTCTTTCCTGGGTTCTTTACTCGGTTCTTGACACAGTCTGTCATCCTTCTTCGATCTGAAATCTTCTTCTACGTACTTTGAACGCATAATAAAGGGTCCCACATGCTTTGTACGTGTATTCCATAGATAAATAATTAAGGAACAAAGTCGAATACAAAGATTTACAGTTCCTTTACACTTTTCTTTTGGTAGGACAAAAAATTGCTGACGTGGACATAAAATATCACGTGATATTTCTATCCTAAGATAAATTTTCACGGGGGACAATTTTTTTTGTGACAGGACAAGATGTCATGTGACCGAAGAGCTCTGTTTAGACCAAAAGAAGAAGAAGAATGAGGACCAAATAAAGGCTGGAAGGAGCCTGTAACACTCCCCGGACTTCTTTCTCAAAGTTAAGAGCATCATTATTATGCTGCTTACTACGACGGCGCCATCACACTTATGACGTAATAATAATGTCACGTGTTTATAATAAAACATCATCAATAAAAAGTAAATATTATGGCGCTCTGTAAAGAGCTGCTACTCTCAAATCTGCAAGAGATGTCCAAAAGACTTTATCCTTGTCTTCTTTTAGCTGCAAGGCATCTCTTTCAGCTGTTTTGACTGATCTGGTCTTCTCTGTCACATGATGTAGAGCCAACCACGTGGTTTTCTTTGCACACATTTTTACCGTGAGTGTCTCCAGACCCTTCCTCCGCGGCGAGACTAGCCTCTTCCGAGCCTCTTCCACAGGGCGAGCAATTAGATCTATTGTTATTTTAACCCTCAATATGGCGGAATTGGAAGAGACAGATCATGATGGACTTTTGACTTTTCATATACAGGGAAGAGAAAAAGTTGATGATGAAAATGATGGAGTTACTAATGAAAACAAAATAACAGATGAGGTAGTTTAAATGTACCTGTACATGTATACTGGTACATAAATTTTAGTAAAATTGTGAATTATAGTACTGCATAATTATGAATTTGTGACCAGTGCCATTGAGCATTTAGCATAATGATCCTATTACATGTCCAGAAATGATAATGCTACTTCCGGTCATTTACTAATAACGAAATTCATAGTTTATTAATGATATTCATAACAGTTTAATGATATTCATAACATATTATTGCAAGTTGTCATAGCAACGAAACAATATGGCTGTTCGTAGCTCACGGTCACAAAGAGTTTGTTCTATAAAACAGTATGAGAAAGGGTACTATAGAAGGCTTATTGATACTGAAACAGAAGATGTGGAAAAGGAGAGTACGCTGATACTAACTTCGGATGATGTCTATGAAGTGGAGAGATTAATTGAACAAAGGATGATAAAAGTCAGTAGATACTGCCACGGTGAAACTGTTCAGCTTGCCTATCTTGGCTTGTTTTAGGGAAAGGTTTATTATTTAGTTTTATGGAAAAATTACTCCAAGGAAGAAGCCACTTGGGAGCCTGAGAGCGAAATTACTGAGGCAGCAGTTAGGTTAGCATTATCACTGAATGGAATATCCATGATAATAGTTGCTATTTAACTTATTAGACTGTATCATGAACCTCAGCCTCCAATCAGAGCTATTTTGGATGCTGTAAGCTCTTTCTCCTTAGTTCTTCAAAATAATTTAAAGGCTGGACTGTTGCGTAGACGCTCAATGTCACTGGAGTTTCCAAGATATGTTTTTAACTTCCTATTTAACAACAAAGGAAATCATACTAGTAATAGACCTGGGTGTCTTTACCAACGATGTGACTTCTCAGCAGAGTATTTTTGCAATGGTCACTTTGAATACTATAACAAGTTTGGAGAAGGCTGCTTTGTCTCATTTCCCATCTATATGTATAGTTTTGTCAAGTTCTCTCAAAAGAAATATAACAGTAGTGGTGAATGTCTTAATAGTTGTACTTTTACTGAAACACTATATATCAAATTAGTTAAAAGACATTAATGATACTTTTTATGAAACGAGAGCAAGATACATGTATGCATCTAGTGCATTTTATTATACTGCAAATTATGCAGCCCCTCCCTTTTAGTCATTTAATAGATCTAGCACCTCCCATCAATGGCACCATGCATAAAGTCAGTGTAGACAGTGTAGATGTCTTTTTGGTTTTATGGCATTATTTTCCATAGCTGAAAACCTCTGTCCCAAAAATTAAGGTTAGATAAATTCATTATGACTTTTGATGAGTATACATAACTAACATAATGTTTTATTGAGTGCACTGTATCATGTGTGTGTGTGTGTGTGTGTATTTTATGGGTCTGGATAAGGCATGATGATGCTGTCTGTTTTACGTCTTTTCCCATTTTGATCCCAGTAGTTGTCATCTGTCTTTGTATACGTCCTTTTTTGTCTTTGACAGTGAGAGAGTTGCTGTAGCCGAGCATCAGTAACCAAAATTTCCTTTGGAGCATCGAAGTGGTTACTAGACATAACATTTCGTTTAGCATCAT